ACAACCATCATTGGAATGGCAAAAAGCTATTACCCCACACATCCCCCAATACATCAACCGTTCTAAGCCAAAACATCACAGTACTTTATAAGGATAAAATAACCATCAGGGTCCAGTAAGAACTCCTATACAGGGCAATTTAAATAAAATAAGATCAAATATCTAAATGACCAATGAATTATATAGATTACAATAAAATCCCTCCCCTCCCAAATATAAATGTCACCAGATATCTCTTTTAATACAGAACCCTCCATCCCCTGGGCCTCATCTAGATAAGAGTATTAATACTATGTACTTCAAAAATTCTAAATCAATAGATCATAAAATTAAAAATAATAATCAATCATTAATATTCTTTCTTTTCCCCTCAAAAAAAAAAAACAAAAAAAAAAAAAAACAAAACAAAAAAAAAACAAAAAAAAAAAAAAAGAAAATAAAATAAAAATAAGTCTAAATAAAATAATTATATAAAAAATAAATCATAAAAAAAAAAATAAAAATATATAATATAAATATAAAATAAATAAAAATACAAATAATTATACAGATAAAACTAAAAATAAAAAAATAAAAAAATAAAAAATATAAATATAATACATAAAATAAATAAAAATAAAATAAAATAAAATAAAAGTAATTAATAAAAATTCGAGCATTCAACTACTGGTCAGAGATAAAACAGTTTAAAGTTCTATATTTAGACCTTTGGGTTTTAAAGTATTCAGCCTATAGATCCAAAAGGTTTCATTTTTTAATCCCTGTAAATTTACATCCCCTCCAATGGAATCCAGGACATCGAACCACAGAATTTCAAATGTCTAGTTCATATCACCAAAATGTTTTAAAGTATTCTTTCTATTCCAAAAGGTTTCATGTTTTCAATATGTTCCTTAATCTAATTTTCAAATCTCTCTTGGTTCTGCCAACGTATTGAACTTGGCAGGGGCATTCTAATAGATAAGTCACATATTTCATGTTACATGTAATGAATTTCTTAATTGCAAAAGATTCCCCCGTCACACAAGATGTAAATGTTGTGATTTTCCTCTCTTTTATCCCTGTGATTTTACAAATTTTACACTTTCTACAAGGAAAAAAGCCTTGAAGTCCAAACATCTTCGGCTTCTTAGGGGGAGAAATCACCCCTTTTACCAGTAGACTACGCAAATTCTCACTTTTTCTATAAATGAACCGAGGTTTTTCCGGTAAGATCTTTCCCAACATGGAGTCTTTATGCAGTACAGGCCAATGCTTCTTAATAATATTTTCTACTCCTTTATACTGACAGCTAAATTTTGAGATAAAAGCACAATCCACTCCTTTCTCATCACGGTGTTTTTTATTAATGATATTATTTTTCTTCCTGTCTCCTATATAATTCTGGCTTACTATATATCTAATTTTTTTCTAACTTTTTGGGATCATATCCCTTAGACACAAACCTATTTTTTATCAACTCTGACTGTATGATGTAATCCTCCAGCCTCGAGCAATTTCTCATAATACGTATGAATTGACCCTTTGGGATTCCTTGGATCCATGAAGGGTGATGGCAACTGTTGGTAGGGATAAACCCATTCCTATCCGTATCTTTGAAGAAGGTTTTGAAACACAATTTGTTTTCAGATTTAAACATATGTAGGTCTAGGAAATTCACCGATTCCCTACTCTTAGCAATTGAAAACCCCAATTCATATTTGTTGGTGTAAATATGTTCTATGAAGCTGTTAAATTCTACATCAGTACCCTCCCAGATTACCAAGATGTCATCAATATAACGCCTCCACACCCTCAGGCCTCCCCACTTTTTACCAAAAATTTCTGCATCCTCCCATTTGGCCAAGAAAATATTGGCCAAACTAGGGGCGAATTTCGCCCCCATTGCTACACCCCTCTGCTGAATGAAGAATTCCCCTCTATACCAAAAATAATTATTCCTCATGCTAAAATCCAATAGCTGAATAATAAGTTTCCTCTGCTTTCTATGGAGCTCAGAGAAATTCTGCAAACCCCATTTGATGGCGTTCAGTCCATCCACATGTTTTATATTTGTATAGAGGGAATTCACATCAATGGTGGCCAACAACGTATTTTCTGTCACCTCCATTCCCTCCAAAAGTTGTAGTATGTCCTGACTATCTTTTACAAAGGAAGGCATCTGCCTAACAATGGGCTGCAGAAAGAAATCTACATATTGGCCTATCCTTGCATGCACTGGGAATCTTTTGCAATTAAGAAATTCATTACATGTAACATGAAATATGTGACTTATCTATTAGAATGCCCCTGCCAAGTTCAATACGTTGGCAGAACCAAGAGAGATTTGAAAATTAGATTGAAGGAACATGTTGAAAACATAAAAAAAGGAAAGAAAGAACACAGTGTATCCAAACATTTTGGTGAATGTCATGGTTCGGTCCGAGTCATTTGAAATTCTGTGGTATCGATGTCCTGGATTCCCATTGGAGGGGATGTAATAGGGTACATTTATTAATGGAGATATCCAAAAATGAAACCTTTTGGATCTATAGGCTGAATACTTTAAAAACCCAAAGGTCTAAATATAGAACTAGACTTAAACTGTAAAATTTCATCTCTGACCAGTAGTTGAATGCTCGAATTTTGGGATTAATTACTTATTTTAATTTTATTTTTTATCTATTGTATTGTTTTTTTTTTTTTATATTCATTTATATTTTTATTTTTAGTTTTATTTGTATGTGTATTTGTATTTTTATTTATTTGTATATTTATATTATATATTTTTATGAATATTTATTTTTATGATTTATTTTTCTATATAATTATTTCTATTTAGACTTATTTTTATTTTATTTCATCATATTTATTTATATTTTTATTTTTTTTTTTTTTTTTTTTTATTTTTTTTTTTTTTTTTGTTTTTTGTTTTTTGATTTTTTTTTTTGTTTTTCTATTTGTCTTGTTTTGTTTTTTTGTTTTGTTTTGTTTTTTTTTGTTTTTGAGGGAAAAGAAAGAATATTAATGATTGATTATTATTTTTAATTTTTATGATCTATTGATTTAGAATTTTTGAAGTACATAGTATTAATACTCTTATCTAGATGAGGCCCAGGGGATGGAGGGTTCTGTATTAAAAGAGATATCTGGTGACATTTATATTTGGGAGGGGAGGGATTTTATTGTAATCTATATAATTCATTGGTCATTTAGATATTTGATCTTATTTTATTTAAATTACCTGTATAGGAGTTCTTACTGGACCCTGATGGTTATTTTATCCTTATAAAGTACTGTGATGTTTTGGCTTAGAACGGTTGATGTATTGGGGGATGTGTGGGTAATAGCTTTTTGCCATTCCAATGATGGTTGTATTGAAATGTTTTGTCCCAATGGCCCTGTGTCCCGTTTCAATTGCCCTGACATACTGTATATAAGTGAGTGAGGAGATCCGATGTTCCAGGATGTAAAATGGCAGCGGTAATTATTTTCCCCGCCTTGGTTGGTATTTAAGGGGAATGAGGAATCACGTCTGTATCCCTGTTGAAAAAGTCGGATGTGACGAAACGCGTCCGGGGCACGTGACGTGGTGACGTAGGTACGCTCTTCCGGAAGTGCGGCGACGGCCATCTTTGATCCTGGTACATGCGGATGTGTTTACTGCAATCCTCATGGGGCTTTGAGGGACTAGGAACCCACGGCAATCATTCCTCCCTCGGAGGTGAGATAGTGTGGCAATCTATACACTGGCGATGAGAGGAAGGATTGGGAATATATCGTTTGTGAAGCTGATGTTATCTTACTTGAATGTAAGTTGCTACAATAAAGTGTTATAAGTGTTTTTGACATATACTGATCCATGGTCTGTTATTGAGGTCTGTGGGAAGTGGCTGGAAAGGCTGAAAGAATACCTATAAAGTGGAAGGCAATACGCAGACCCTTGATATCACTGTGAGGGTAACTATGAACTCTCGTTGGTGGTATGCAGTGGATTGACTCCTAAGGCTGAGGGCTATCTCTTTCTCACGGTTATGGTGGCACATATATTTTTATTTTTATGTGCATGAAACACGTGTGGCACAGTCGTTTAGATAACTTTGTTTTTGAAGATATCACACATGTTGAGCTCTTTTTTCTTGAGGTATATGAAGATCGGGTTTGAAGTATATCACTAAGAATGTTGGAAGATATGAAGAATTAAGATATCACAGATAAAGATTTGGAAAATTTTGGGACTCCTCCAAATTTTTGGGACTCCTTCTTGTTTTTTTTTTTTTTTTTTTTTTTTTTTTTTTTTGGATTTTGGGTTTTTTGATTGTTTTTTTTTATATATTTTTTTTTTATATATATTTTTTTCTATATTTTTTTCTTTATTTATATTTATTTTTATTTTTAATATTTTGGGTGACTATTTAAGTTTTATATTCACACTATATTGTGATTAGATGGTAATCAAGTTTACTTTATTTTGATGAAAAAAGAAGTATTGTTCCATTCAAAAAAATATTAATTATTTAATTTGCCTCATAGTCAAAGCCAGGAAGAAGCCCACCATCTCCTTTCAAGAAGTCCAAGACCATATGAAATTTGATGCCGGTTATGGGAACCATGGCTTGCTTATGCCTTACTACCTTTTAACTCTTATAGTCTGAGCTGCTATTATTGATATATGGGAGCCTATGGCCTGATTCCATGGGGGATACATGCTACTGTATCCTACTCCCCACTTCATGTTGCATCTGCTTCCCTACCCTGACCTTCATCCTATGTTTTTAGCTTGGATTTTCCTGGTATCTCCTCCTCCCTGCTAGTTCTCACTATAATGTTTCTCTTTCCATCCCTCTGTCCAACCTCCTTTAGTAATCTGCACCAACCAACAGCTACTCTAAACCCATTAAGGGTCTCAAACAACATCCTCTTTTAATAAAATTACAATAGCAAAAATAGAACAACCACATCCATTGATATCCTTCCAATCACCTCCATGGCCACAGGTGTGAAAAACCAAGCACCTAGGCATGCAGACTGCTTCTAAAACATTTGTGAAAGAATAGGTTGCTCTAAGAAGCTCATTGTGTTCAAACCTGGTACTGTGATAGGTTGCCACCTGTGCAATAAGTCCATCTGTGAAATTTCCTTTTTACTAAATATTCCACGGTCAACTGTTAGTGGTATTACAACAAAGTGGAAGCAACTGGGAACAACAGCAACTCAGCCACAAAGTAAAATGACAGAGTGGGGTCAGCGCATGCTGAAGTGCATAGTGTGCAGAAGTCGAAAACTGTCTGCAGAGTCAATAGCTAAAGACTTCCAAACTTTGTGTGGTGTTCAGATTAGCACAAAAACAGTGCAAATAGAGCTTCATGGAATGGGTTCCCATGGCCGAGCAGCTGCATCCAAGCCTTACATCACTAAGTGCAATGCAAAGTGTCAAATGCAGTGGTGTAAATCACGCTCCCACTGGATTCTAGAGCAGTGGAGATGTGTTCTCTGGAGTGACAAATCACTCTTCTCTGTCTAGCAATTTGATGGATGTGTCTGGGTTCAGCAGTTTCCAGGAGAACTGTACTTGCCTGACTAAATTGTGCCATGTGTAAAGTTTGGTGGAGGGGGATTATAGTGTGGGGTTGTTTTTCAGAGGTTGGGCTTGGCCTCTTAGTTCCAGTGAAGGGAACTCTTAAGGCATCAGCATACCCAGACATTTTGAACAATTTCATGCTCCCAACTTTGTGGAATAGTTTGGGGATGGCCCCTTCCTGTTCCAACATGACTGCGCACCAGTACACAAACCAAGGTCCATAAAGACATGGATGAGCAAGTTTGAGGTGGAGGAAGTTGGCTGGCCTGTCCTGACCTCAACCAGATAGAACACCTTTGGGATGAATTAGAGTGGAGACTGCGAGCCAGGCCTTGACGTTCGACTTCAGTGCCTGACCTCAGAAATGCGCTTCTGGAAGAATAGTCAAATATTCCCATAGACACATTCCTAAACCTTGTGGACAGCCTTTCCAGAAGAGTTGAAGCTGTTATAGCTGGAAGGGTAGGCCAACTCTACATTGAACCCTATGGACTAAGACTGGGATGCCAATAAATGTGCGTGTAAAGGCATGCATCACAGTACTTTTGGCAAATTTAGTGTATATTGATACTTTTATAGTATTTTTATTGTTTATCCACATATCTATGGATCCACATATCTATGGATTTTCACCAAGGCTATATTCCATCACCATTTTGAGAGCTGAATATGCTTGTATGATCTACAAGGTGTTGTGAAAAATTACTAGCCAACCAACTTAAAGTGGAGTTCCAGCCATTTTCGTGTTCATTAAAAGTCAACAGCTACAAAAACTGTAGCTTCTGACTTTTAATAAACACCCACTTACCTGTCCCAGGGTCCAGTGATGTTCTCACCTGTCTGGTCTCTTCTTTCCTTTTATCCTCCACGGCACTGGCATCTCTACTGTGGGCACCAGGCTGTGACAGCTTGCGGCCTCACTGCCTAGTGCCCACTGCGCATGCATGAGTTGCGCTGCACTTCCTGATTGGTCCGGCAGTCTCCTAGGACCTGTGGAAGTTCCCAAGAGACTGCAGGAACAAGGAGTTGGCCGAACGTCTGGCTCACTTCGTCGTGGCGAACTAAGCCGGAAGTGGGAGCAGGTACCTGTCAAAACCTTCTCCCCCCCCCCAAAAGGTGCCAAATATGGCAGTGGAGGGGGGAGGAAGAAAAAAATCGGAGCTTCTGCTTTTGAGTAGAACTCTGTTTTAAAGAAAACATTTTTAAACAAAAAATTTCATGTCTTTACAACCCCAAGTCAGGATGAAAGCTAAATAATCCATATTATCTCTGATTTTTTAACTTTAATCACTTTACCAAAAGTTGACTGAACAGATCTAACACAGTTGAAAGTGCTTTTTACAATCAATAAAATAGATAAACTGATTAAAAGTCTACCACATAATAAATCACCTGGACCTGATGGATATTCATCAGGATATATTACTAACTTTTTGGACATGTTATCACCCTACTTGTTACAGGTCTTTAATGCCGCAGTGTCAAGAGCTTATTTTCCACCCAAAATATTAACAGCCACAATTGTGTCCTTACCTAAGCCAGGAAAAGAGCCTAATGCACCTCAAAATTTTCATCCAATCTCTTTGCTAAACGTGGACATGAAAATAAATGCTAAATTGCTTGCAAACAGATTGGCTAAGGTCTGATCTGATCAAACAAGACCAGGTAGGGTTTTGTCTCAGGCCATCAGGTGAACGAAATTCACCATCCTTTTAGTTGCATACTAAAAGGATGGTGAATTTCGTTCAGTTAGCAGAAAGAAAAACAATAAAGAGAGCCTTCTCTGCTTCTCATGTTAGTTGCAGAGAAGGCTTTTTGATAGAGTGCATTGGGGATACCTATCTAGTATTAAAAAAATTTGGTCTTAAGGGCACAGTACAGTCTGCTATTTTTGCATTATACTCAGCTCCTTCGGCTCATGTTTTTACAGAAGGGATGTTTTCAAACAACTTTAAAATTACAAATCATGGTGAGACGCTATGTGCTTTGCCAGAAGGTGTTTTATGAACAGGGCATTACAAGTGACAGACTCCTAGTGTGAGCGGTACAAGCTTCCAAAACCTCTAACACAATGCATCACATACATGACCACCATGTCACACTCTTCACTAGAATTTATTCCATAGCAAAACAATTTAAACTTTATTACTTAAAACTCTACAATTTGAGCTCTGAACATTCATCCTGTGTTTCACCTGAGTATCGTATGGACAAGCTCAGAGACTTTTCCTCCCCTGTGCCCAAAACCTGTCTCTCTCTCAACAAGCTAAAGACTCAGAACAACCTTTGTCTTCAGAGGAATTGTAGACTGCTTTGAAGCAGATGAAACCAAGCAAAACTCCAGGGCCCAAGGGTCTCTCACTGCAAAATTATAACTGCTTTTCAAACTTATTAAAAGATATAGAACTCTTTGGCAATTTATCAGATCTTATTTTTTTAAATTAATTATTCCAAGTTGCATACCCTAAAAATCTCCCTCCCACCAACCATAGCTGCTCAGTGCCAAGACTTTCTTTGGAAATTGGATGCCATTACATATCTAGGAATTCAGATTCCTACTAAACTGTCAGAATTATATACTCAAAATTTCCACATAGCCTTAAAATAAAATCCCAGCAGACTTGGAAAACTGGGCAGGACTGAATGTCTCATGGTTTGGATGTTCAGCCATACTTATAATCCTCCCCCGCACCTCCTATATCTGATACAGACTATCCCGATCCTTCTACCTCCGTCTTTTTTTTGCATCTTATAAGAAGGCTTACTATTCATGTATCTAGAGAAACTCTCCACCTTGTATCAAGTATTCCTGAATTACACATTCAAAACTCAAGGGTGGATTGGCCTACCAGACCTTCACAAGTACTATCTAGACTGCCAACTTACGAGAATAGTAGACTGGAATATCCATGCAACCAGGAAAATATGGGTCTCCTTAGAAAAATCACTTGCAGAAACCTCACTTCATTCACTCCCTTGGTTACCCACCCAACATTGGCCAAGAGAGGTTAGAACACATCCTCTCATTCAAGATTCCCTAGCTTCCTTCAGGCAGGCGACAAAATCTGCAGCTCTTTCCCCAGCCCTGGGCCCCTTAAACATGATAAGGGGAAATCCTTATTTTCCTCCAGGAGAATCTAGATTTTTCTCACATCATGAGTGGCCTCATAATGGTGTAATTGCCCATCACTTTTTCTGTAAAGGCACTCCTTGATCATATATGAAAACATATTGTCAATATCACTCACTAAAACATTTCTATTTTGGACATATTGACAGTAGAGATGAGCGAATCGAACATGGCGAAGTGGAATTCGTTTCGAAGATCAGGAAAAATTCGATTCGCGCCGAATCCGAAAATTAGCAAACTTCGGATGCACGAATCGAATTTTCCCAAAAATGGCGGCGACATGTGTGGCGACGGAGCGGGGATCTCTGGGAAGGCGCGCAGACAAGGCGCGCTGACACATAATGCATTCATTCATGACATGTGATCGCATTAGCCAATCAGCAGCCAGCCAGCCAGCACTGTGTAATGGTGGAGCTATAAATTGCGGCCATCTTACAATTCTCCATTAGCCTCCGGTCATTCAAGAGAGACAGACCTGTCTGTATTAGGGACAGAGTTAGGGCCAGAGAGACTTTAGGGCCACAGAATCGTTACTCAGGGACACAGAATCGTTACTCAGGGACACAGAATCGTTACTCAGGGACACAGAATTGTTACTCAGGCACACAGAATTGTTACTCAGGGACACAGAATCGTTACTCAGGGACAGACACAGAATTGTTACTCAGGGACACAGAATTGTTACTCAGGGACACAGAATCGTTACTCAGGGGACACAGAATTGTTACTCAGGGACACAGAATTGTTACTGGGGACACAGAATTGTTACTGAGGGACACAGAATTGTTACTCAGGGACACAGAATTGTTACTCAGGGCACAGAATTGTTACTCAGGGACACAGAATCGTTACTGAGGGACACAGAATCGTTACTGAGGGACACAGAATTGTTACTCAGGGACACAGAATCGTTACTCAGGGACACAGAATCGTTACTCAGGGACACAGAATCGTTACTGAGGGACACAGAATCGTTACTCAGGGACACAGAATCGTTACTCAGGGACACAGAATTGTTACTCAGGGACACAGAATCGTTACTGAGGGACACAGAATCGTTACTCAGGGACACAGAATTGTTACTCAGGGACACAGAATCGTTACTCAGGGACAGAGTCGTTACTCGGGGACACAGAATTGTTACTCGGGGACACAGAATCGTTACTCGGGGACACAGAATTGTTACTCAGGGACACAGAATCGTTACTTTCTGCTTCACAACCACTATTGAATTAAAGAGTATGTCAGACAACACACAGAGGAGTGGCAGAGGAGGCAATGTTTCAGGAGCGAGCAGACGTGGCAGCAGAGGAAGGGGTCGAGGCAGCACTAGTCGCAGCCAGAGGCCAGTGCTCCCGGTGTCATCCAGCGGTCGTGTCTCCACCGACAACCCTGCCGTCATCGATTGGTTGACTCGGTCGTCTTCCTCTTCCCAGGTCACCTCTGACACCTACAGCCAACGGTCGGTGGGTACGTCAGACACAACCGTTAGTTGGCATGGCCCGGGAGCAAGCCCACTGAAATCACGCGTCCTCTACCTGCCCCTGTCCTTTGGTGTTCCCTCACCAAGCGAAGTATCACATGCTGTGGGCTCAGCCCCACTGTACAGTGAGGAAGAGCTAACAGAGGGTGGTCAGGAACGGGGGAGACATCCGCCTCTTCAGCAGCCAGGCGAAGAAGTACTGGCGAGGAGAGTGGCTCGGTAGCCGGTCTAGAGACAGGTCTGTCTCCTGACCCACACGCAGCCGAGGGGGCTAGTAGT